CGGGGGTGGTAAGAGGGCGCCTCCTGCCGGGAACCCGGTCGGCCTTCCCAGCTGCGCCCCCCGCCGGCCGCGGTGGGTCGCCTCCCCACCGAGTAACGGGGCTCTCTCCCTCCCCCTCCCCCTCCCGCGCCGTCCCAGCCGTGCTGGAAGATGCTGGCGCCGACATCCTGCTGGAGGCCCTGGGCGCCCTGGGCTGTGAGCCCCGCATCGAGCCCCAGCCACATCCGCGGAGCCTCAGCTGGAGCCGCGTGAGGCCGGACCCCCGCCCCTGCGGCGTGAGTGAGGGGCTTAATGGCCAACGGAGCCCCACCCCCTTGGCGACTCTGTTTGTTGCTGTCCCTGAGAGTCGGGCAAGAAACGCCGGCGGGAGCGCGGAGCGGGGCTGGGGTTCGGGCCAGGCGTTCCAGCCCGGCTGCGTGCCCACGAGGCCGGGAGACTCCGCTGGGTTTTGCAGGGCAGAGCGGGCTGAAGTGCCCCCGTGTCCCCATAGGTGCCCCCGGAGGTGTGGGCTGCGGACGGGCGGCAGCTGCTGCTGCTGCTGGACCCAGAGGAGTTCCTACAGGGCGTGGCCCAGCTGACCCAGGTGTTTCCCCTGCGCCGCCGGAGACTGGGCACAGGCTGCCTGCTGGCCTGGGTGGCCTCCACTCCATGTGGTCACTGGGTTCTCCATGGGGCACGTGGGAGCTGCAGCTCCTCCCAGGAAGCAGGGCCCAGAATAAAAGGCGTCCTCTGAGGATGGGGTCAGGAGTCATGTCAGCTGGAGAGAAGGGGCTTGGGGACGGGTGGCGGCCCCAGCAGGGATAGGGTGGCTCCCTGGTCTTCATTGGAAGAGACCTGGATCACATCGCTGGAGCACCGCGGGCCTGCCCCTAGCCCAGCACTGGGCCGGGCTCCATGTTCATCACATACCATCACGTGCCAGGTGTGGGCCAGGTGGGAGGGGCTCAGACAGGGGTCCGTTCTTCCTTACAGGTGCCCCCCACAGCCTCACTGCCCTGGACTTGTTCTGAGAGCACCACCCACCTCCACTTGGCCGTCATCGGGCTGGATGCCCACCTGTGGTACCTCCCCGATCCCCAATGCAGGGCCCTCACTCCCCTGGGCAGTCAAGGGAGGTGGGACTGGCAGGCTGTAGACGCTGAGGCCGGTCCGTCCCCTTGCCCAGGTCTCGCCAGCGCGGTGTCCAAAGGATCCAGCGGCCGCCAGAGGGGCCAGCAGCAGCGCAGGCCGGGAGGGCAGGGAGCTGGCTCCAGGTACAGGAGGTGAGAGCCGTGCTGCCTGGGTCCCGCCTGGCACGGGCAGTTGGTCTCATCAGTGGCCCTGGGAGCCCCCTGCCCTGAGGTAGCCCCCACCTGTCACTCCCCACACAGGCCCTGGTGCTCTTGCAGCTCTGGGCAGACCTGGACGTGTTGCTGGTAGCCTCCTGGCAGGAGCTGAGTGACCACGTTTGTGCCTTCACCAAGGCCCTCGCCCAGCGGCCCTACAAGTGTGTGCCCCCCAGGGCAGGCTGGGCAGAGGGGGACTTGGTGGACAGCAGGAGGCCTGGTGGGGCTGCTGGGCATGGCGGTGGCAGGAGGGCTTGGGAAGGACCCCCGCACCTCCCCGCCCCCATCCACAGGTGGCTCCGGGAGTCCCGAGCCTTTTTTTTCTGCACCGTGGGGCGCTGCGTGACTGGCAAGCAGGGGGCTAAGGACGGCCAGGGGCTGCGAGGGACTTGGAGGCGACAGATCAGGCAGCTCAACCGAGTAAGCCCCGCAGTGGCAGACGCCGTGGTTGCTGCCTACCCCTCCCCCCGCCTTCTGCAGCAGGTGAGCCGCCCCCCACCCCAACCTCATCCTCGTCACCTCAGGTAGACACTCTCTGAGGCCACCCGCTCACCCCTGTGCTCCCCCTAGGCACTCGCAACCTGCAGCTCACAACAGGAGCGGCTGGCCTTCCTAGCTGACCTCCCTGTGGAGAAGGGCCAGGGTGGGCGGCCCCGCAGGGTGGGGCCTGACCTCTCCCGCAGGCTCTGCCTCTTCCTGACCACGTCCGACCCCGACCTCCTGCTGGACCTGGGCCCCTGAGCACACCTGCCTCCGAGTGGCACGCAGAGTCGAGGATACCACCACCTGCCGGGCCAGGACCCAGACAACCCGCACCCTGAGCGCTGCCGGTCTGGTCCCTTTGGTCGGCCAGAC